ACAGAGGCTGATCAAAGTTTTTACAATTGCAATTACCTGGGCAACAAGTCTGTGAACTGTTCTGAACTTTCAATACATAAAGGCAAGGATGCATAGCTCTTCCCTCCATCACTGTGTGAGTCACATTCATAGTGTAAATATAAATGTTGGTACCTTTACGTTGTCAATTCAGAGCGATCAAAAAATAAGTTTCTCAATTAACGTCTTCAGTCCTTTTTTGGTGCTTGTTTGGTCCACAAACCAGTACTGCGGGAAGAGATGTTATTTGTGTCATAAGGTCAGAATTTCATTGTTGCTCATGTGTCTGTGTTCATGTCCTCTCAGTCGTCTGTCCTGCATCCTTTGCTGCAACTCGTTCCCCAACTTAATGAGAGAAGACTGAAGAGATATAAAGTGGACGTATGTAATCTTAAACTATGCTTGCTTGCATTCTCACATTTTGTGATTTATTAGCTCTTCTAAAAATGTCCTTTCAGAATCTTTCTGCTCATAGCATTTTTATTTTCAAGACGAGTGTACCCCCATTAGAAATACGAGTTTTTTCTATTATGTAATTAGTGAAAAATAATCCTGCTGATATTTAACATGTAAACAAGGAAAACTAAAATAATATATGCTTAACCACGGAAGAGTGGTAGAACAGCCTATATACCAAAGTGGATCTAGTAGTTGATTTCTAAAAAGAAAAATACTTCAAAATTTAGCTGTACCAGTATACGGCAGTTGAGTTTTTTTCCTAGGGGTTCTCTTTTTCTCCCATTTTGAATTCAAACCGTATCAATTCATTAGAAACATATTATTTATGACTTACAATATTAAAAATGTCCGAGTAATTTAAAGACAATATTATCATTTAACTTAAGGTGCAGATAAGAAAGTTCCCTCTTTGTTACAATTTTTAGCCAAGGTTTAAGTTCCTGAGCCATGAGCTGTAGAAATGAGTCCTTTGAGAATATAATGACATCTTTTTTTCCTCACTTCTTTTTTAAACCGCTTTAACTACATTATTACCTGATTTAGCATCAGCGGAAACAAAATGTGAGAAGGGGAATGTATCTTCTCACTTCAAGTAGCATAAACTGAGATTAACTTTTGATTTGAAGGCATATTTTTCAGAGTAAAATAGGTGTAAATAATGGACACCAAACTTGGAACATCTCTTACTTTGGAGTTTTCAGTTTGGGATTAAAGAATGAGTACTCACTGGCAGTTTTGCAGATGGAAGATAATGTGGGACCTATCTTAGGAGGGGCGTGTCGCATTGTGGAGGGTACGTTCCTCTTTTCAACCACGTACATTGGACTCAGGAAGAAAATATTGTTGTGATTAATTGTTTCTGGCCATTTTCTTACTTTGTAACATGTTGACCTTCATCTTGATATTTGATAAAGTACATACAAGCAAAGTTTTCTCTTTTTAAGAACCATTTCAGAAAGTCATGCTGCAGTGGAAATACATATAGCAGTATTAACCATTTTGTATGAAATACAATTTTATTTTTGATCATTCATTAGCTAGAACTATATTATTTTGTTTCTCTTATTTGGAAAACCTTTATTTGGGGATCCTTTTTTCATAATTTGTTCATTCCTTCTTAATTTTGCTACTTACAGGTGTATCTGGAAAAATACTTCAAACAGCTAAATACACTTTAACACTTAGGTTCACTCCACAAAATTGGTAACGTTTATTACCAGTAGCTTTTCTCCTATGTTGTTTTGGCTCTGAGAACTTCTATCTCATTTGCTTTTCTCCCATGAGATCTAAGAAAGTTATGTGAAGTTATATTAAAAAAAAAAATCCATATCCACAGTTGGTTCATTGTCTTGTAGCAAGGAAAAAAGTAAAAACAACTTTGAAGAAATCATTGTGATAGAACACAATCTGTTTTAAAAATACAAGGAAGGCCCTTGTCAGAGTGAACAACTTTGAAGACAAAAGAGAAAGCTGTCAGTACTACTGAATCACCCGACCTACTCTTGGATAGGTTCCCAGCATCCAAAACTATTCAGCCTACTAGATGTAGGATGTTGGCCCCGATACCACTATGTAACTATAGTCTATCATAGCAGTTTTACACGTGCTAGGAAAGCAGCATGACAGTCTGCTTGGAGAAATAGTGATGATCTTGCCCACCACTGATGTATTTTTATCATGATAACATCCAGTTTTATAAGCCTAAATAATCCTTTGATAGGAAACTGTAAACTGAGGCAGAAAATTCTTTATGGTTTTCACATGACAGAAAAGTGTGGATGGCTTCAGTCTAAAGAAACATTTAGGTACGGATCAGGCAGTTTGGTATACTAAGGGAATCAATTGCTTGAGAGTTGATTAAGGGTTTAAATAATCCAATGATTTAAGAACAGATTTGTAGCACTGATTCAGAAAGTAAATCCTCCCTGAAATAATGAATCAGAGTTCTTTATGTTAGCGAAACAAACCAAATATCATTCTATCCGTAAACTAATAAATGCACCAAAACACTACTCCTTTCCTGTCTACATAAGAGGTAATTTTGGCCTTCACAGTTTTGCTGTATTTTGGACAATATGAGCTTCATATGTCGGACTGCTCCCAGAAACTTGCACTTCATCAGACGTCATTTGCTTTGCAATTTTATCAGGGTGCAGAGAGAAACTATGAGTACAGATCTGGCTTGTTCTCCTTGTTCTCCATCCCTCACGCAAAATGCAGCATTTGATTTCAATCAGTAAACAGGCAAGGGCCTCCCCGCTGAGTAAAGCACAGGGAGCTGTATCTTACAGCAGCTCTTCTCCATTTGCAGTCCATCATAGATGCTTGTCAGAAAAGTAAAAGGAACACAGCAAAGTGAGGTACTGCTCTTATAGATTGCTAAGCTTCTACCAGACCCTATTGGTATACAGTTCCTTGTCACAGAATTAAGGAGTTGTAAGTAGTTTTCTAAGGCAGCCATTGCTCTCTTCATCCACTTGCCGTTGCCTGTACTTAGTCAAGCTTCTGTGGAGTGGGGAACCCAGCTCCTCCTTATTTCTGTTCACAGAATTAAGGGCAAGGCCCTTAATTCCAGATGAAGAAGTAGCCAGCAACGTTTTTCACACTAATTTTTCATGTGGACATTCTCATTAAAAACAATCTGGACAAAGTCAAATGTTTAGTGAAGAACAAGAATTTATCCATACAGGATGCCTCTGCAAAATAGCAATTGTGCTTTAGATTCATTCCTCTGGTTGCTGTATCAGCGTCCCCAAGTAGACAAATAAAGAGAGAGCTGAATTCAGCAACGGCTGGAATAAAATTAAGGCAGTGCTTTCCTTAAGAAATTGCTTAATTTATTTGTTATGACAAAAAGTTAAGAGCACAGCTCTTTCAACCACTCATTTTTACATATTGAATTGCCTGACAGTACCATCTTGTTAAATCTCTTTAAATTAATAAGTTAAATTAAGGAATAAGTCCAAATGGATTCAAGAAACACTTCAAATTTTCATACCGAGGAAAATTTTGCATAGATGCCGTACAGCACCATCGTATGTATTTTATCATTACCACGTAAGAAAAGTAGTGCAGATATGTATGTATATAAAGCCATCTTTCACTAAGCTGGACTGACACTTCTCATTGTAGACTATGATTTCATTTACTCAGCACTTTCCTGGACTCCCACAATTTCATCTAAAAAAAAAAAAAAAGCATCTTTCTCAGGTGTTTTCAGCCCATGAGGCTCAGCTGAGGCTGAATGGATTTTTAAAAATACATTTTTTAAAATTTAATAGTGATATGGTGAAAAAATGTCATCAAAAGCATTAGAATTTATGCAGAGTTATTATGTTTCAATATTGGCACAGCCCATATGACTTTAGCACAGAGGAAAATCTCAGGAAAAGCCCTGCCAGTGGAAAAGTGATATTGTGAGTTGAGTTTTGGAGGACTAGGAAAAATGAGGTTGCTGAAAATAAAAGCTGGAAGGAAAGTAGGGGTACTGCAGTCATGAATGACTCAGGAAGAGAGACTCAGGTTAGATGAGGAACCAGCAAAAAAATTGGTTCTTACTAGCAAGGACAGAGAGAACTAGTGGGCAAGGCAGAAGGAGGCACAGTAGACCTTAATCTGACATTTCGTAACATCTGAGTGCTTGATATAGGTTGTAGATGACATATAAGCAAATAACAGCTGAACATGGTTTAAGGACAATGAGTTGTTTTGGAAATTCTTTACTACACCCATTAAAGGCTTCTGGTCCGGGCTGCTCTTTGAAGGGAGAAATATTCTTGTTTAGTATTTCTCAGTCCTCCACAGTCTGTTTCTGGTGGACCTCTGCTGGTCTTAAAACATAAGAAAACTCACTAAAGAAAACAATGTTTTTTAATCCCCCAGAAACTAACATGCAGAAAAACAGAAAGGGTGGAAGTAACAGTAGTAGTAAATCAAATTCAAAGCTTAGACTAACTTTGATTGTAAACATGAGCCACTGTGGTGACAGATGAATGTTGACTTATTTCTCAATATGGTTAAGTGCTTCTCCTTTTTTTTTTTCCAACAAAATCAGGTGAATTGTTGATTAAAAAATGAAAAGGTGAGAAACACTGATAGATGACATGATATCACAGTTTCAAATGAAATAAAAATCTCTGTATTTGCCACACAGAGTCAGACTTTTCCCATTATTACACTGAGTGTAAGGGATTATGTTTTTCTTCCAGGATGTTCTTACATACAGGAACAGGACACAGCCTTTCTGAGTGGAAGGCTGCTCAGTCTGCTGTGCACTGTAGCCCTACTTTTCTTCATGTGGGTGAGGAGGAGCAGAGGAATGTGAACCAGAGGTCCCCCATGAGCACTTGCAGCCAAACTGGAAGGGGAGAGAAAAAAAAAAAGGAAACCCTAAATGCATATAATCAGTTTGTCCAGAAAAATATAACGAGATGGATGTCTGTATAGCAGTGTAGTGCCTACACATATACCTAACCCAGAAAACAATAGAGGACAAGACTTTGGCAGTTAAAGGCAGGTAAAAATATGATCCAATTTTTGAAACAGTCCCTACTGCTTTTTAGCTGTGTACTATCTTCCTATCTTCCTGACTTCTACAGCAATCTTGAACATAACAGAACTGTGTAAAAACTAATGGCAGATTTTGCTTATCACTGACTTCAGTTTCGGTTAACAGGACTACCAGTGACAGAACCTGGCCACATATACGAACTTACAGAGTTGGTACTTCTACTCATGAAACAGCTCAAACAACAGTTCCCACAAGAACTGAAATTGTTATAAAAAGTTTTAATCCATTACACACCTGAAAGGAAATTACAGGGTAAAAGTTAGCTTCTGTGATGACGTTGACTTTAACTGCATTTATACTCCTGGAGCTAAACACTGACAGAGAATATTCCTGTAATTGCTCTTTGTGCTTTTAAACGAATATACATGTCAAATAAGAAAAAGAATGGGAAGAAAAGTATAAATGCCAGGGCACAAAATTATTATATATGAAAACAAAGTGGCTTTTAAATCCAATCAAGTCCTTTTGCTAGAATACTTTAATATTCTGAGCTTATTTCCACTGAGGTTGATGACATAATTAATGGTAATAGAATACTGTAATTAACAGACAATAACCTGAAAGCAAGAGCCTACTTACCATATTCCATCAGATTTTGCCTCTTCTTGACAGATTTATTTTTAGCGAACCGTTTCTCACCCAGGCTCAAAAAAGAAACTTTAGAATATTTTTCCGAGTAATAATAATACCATAGTGTGCAGAGTATATCAGTTAGATCATGCAAGTGACTGCATATTTATATTTTAAGAGAGTCATAATATTTAAAACTGAAATCACAAATAAAATTTAATACATTACTTCTGTTTAAGAGCTGCCAAGCCATCCTATGAAATAGAATCTAAAGGCTTATTTTTTACATCAAAGAACTATCAAGGTCCATACTCTTTACCGAGTACAGATCCTTAGGAAAAGAAAAAATAGCACCTATCTATCATAAAGCTTAAACATACACTGACATAAACATAGGACTAAGAAAAGAAATATTTTTAGAACAATATTTGCAAATATTTCTTCCAAAGGAAATAACAATAAAAAAAAACTATAGTCATTTTGAGTGAATGCAAAGCAGGCTGATTTAACTCTGTGGCTAAAGGCAAATCTTTTATTAAACATTTATAAAAAGTATCTTATTTTTGTTGTATTTTTATATTAGAAGTGAATGTATGATAATGTGTTTCCTTAATCATCTTTTCTTTTAAATGGCTAATTTTTAAAGGCCTTTAGTCTTTTTCCTATTTATAGTCATAATTAGTAGTGCATAGAAATAATAACACTTAGAATTTGAAGTAATCTGCAATGTAATAAGCATTGATTGTTTAATTTGCAACTATTATATTATGTTCCTAAACTAACTTAGCTAAATACTTAAGCACATACATAACTCTTAAGTTCATTATTTCAGTGGGACTGTTCATGTGCTCTTTGCTGAGTTCTTCTAGGTATGGATTGGAGATACAGCTAGAAGTTTGAACGCAGACTGTGTGGCACTTTGAACTGGCATGTTCGGTAGTTACGTTTCATGAGCTACAGCTACAGGAATGCTCTAGATTAGCCAGTGCTATCATGAATGATTGGATTAGACTGAAAATATACAACCCAGGTGTAATTTTTAAAAGAAGGAAATGACAGAATCGTAAAGTAGAATAAGGGTCAGCTAGGATCTGTTAGAAGAGGAACGGAATATAGACCTGTGACAGTCATATCATAGTAAGACTTTAAAAAAAAAATTAAAAAAAGGATATAATAGGAAAAGCCATACCAGATCAGACTATATTTTCATCAGCCCAGTATCCAGTATCTAAAAGTGACTTGTAGTGCATAGACAAGAAAAGCTTGGAAGGAGCAGGGGGAATGTGAAGTGATTAGTCCTTTTGTTTACCCTCTAGCTTTTGACAGTTTCATCTTAGGGACCTTCTGAGTCACTAATGGATTTAACCACCTTTGCATCTGGACCATTATGTAAAATAATCACAAGTGGATTTAATCACCTTTGATTTTTTGCCTGTATGTATTTTAAATGACTGTTTATTTTGAAATATTTGATCATTAGGCATTCTGGCCTACAAAGTGAAGAGCTTAGTGAACGCCAATAGAGTCACGTAATATTAAATAAGTCCTAAAATACGTTCTCTTTCATAAAACTAGAGTCAAGAGAAGTAATTATATGGCTAACACTTGCAGCATATAACTATTTTTAAATAGTCATATAAACATAAGGCAACAATATAAACATTATTTAAAAAAAAAAGGAAATGCACCATTGATGATTCTAATCCTGGTGAGAATACAGGAAGATGTTCCATACATATAGCAGCTTACAGCTAGAGCACACAGAAAAATGGGCTGTATCTGAGCTCTAAATTGAACTATATCTTTCAGAGAAAGTACCTTTTTCTATTTTTTGTTGTGAATTCCTGTTGTGAATATCAGTTACCTTATTAAATGTGGTATTTAATGATGTAGAATGCATAATACTAAAGACATTTACAAAATGCTAGCATCTTCTGAAATCCATTTCCTTTGCAGACCCTTTTTTGATATTTTGCAAGCATCTTATTTATTTTAATGTTATAATTACACCATTGAAAGTCATCCACCCACATTATGCTTATCATATTTATTTATATGGCAGATTTCTGCACATTTTAGTATAAGAGTTTAAAATTCTCTGCAAATGTTATTGCTGAGGGTCAAATCAGTTCGTAAGAAAATTAAGAAAACACTTGCTTGAACAATAATGCAAGTATTTTCTGCCTGTAGGAAAGCTAAAAATCCTATCTTTCCAAGAAACAGTATTGGATAGGGTAATGAGGGAACCACATAGGTAAACTGTAAAGCCAGTAGAGGCCCTACATGACCTCAGTTTTCAATTGAGAGATACCATCATTGCTAAGGGAGCATACAATAAATTCCATTCTATGATGTTCTGCTAAGCACAAGACTTGAATTATTTTGTTTCTAAATTGGCCTGTCTCTACTTCTACAGGACAGACATCTCACTGAGACATCTGATTTTAACACAGACGCTGAAAATTCTGCCATTCACTTTATGCATTTTCTAATCATTAACATGTCATTAAAGCCAGAGGATACTTTATGCCCTGTGCGTGTTACATTTCAATGGCATTTCTATCTTAATTTATTGTTCTTTTTCCCCCTTGCTGCATGGATCAGTAGAGAGTTGTTTTTCAGTGTGTGCAACATGACCAGGATAGAATATCATAGGCACTGGTCTTCTCCTTGGGATTAAATCTGGGAAGGGTGATCATGAAATGCTTCTGGGAATAGTATGGGATCTTGTGGCTTGGCTGGAGACCAAGTATTTCTTTTTGTCAGCTTTGCAGTATTCTCCTGGGATGTGCAAAGCCTAATTCTAGGATGTTCTTAGAGATTCTTCTTCTATCGGGACACTCAGGTTGTGTCTGAGTAATGAAACCTGGAAAGGCGAGGGCAAAGGCTGCTCATCAGTACCGGTATAATTCTAAAGCAATTTCCACTGAGTCAGAACTACAGGTGGAATCTACCCCTCATTCATGTATTTTTTGCTGTTTCTACATGCAGATACGACCTTCTTTCTAATTGTCATGGAGAAATATACATCAAGCATACTTTAAGAGGCAAGACTGTATAGTAGTACTTAACAGTTTTAGTAAGTACAGAAACAACCTGTCTGTATGCATGCAGTTACAAGAGTAGGTCTGATTTGAAATACTTTACTTTTCAGGAAGAACTTCAAGGACCTGGAGGGATTCAAAGTAGAGGCTACTTTTTCTTCAGGGTATGGTTTTTTTTTTTTTTTTTTTCTCCCTTTCAAATTGTTACATAACAGAGTCGAGAAATCAGAGAATTAGTGTAAGAATTACTGTGTACGAGTATTACTGTGTATTACTTTTTTCAGTATTAGCATCATGCTGTAAGTATTTCCATTATGGATGTTTGTTGTCTTTGCAGAAGATGAGCAATATAATTTCCAAAGAATTTATAAGGTACATTCTGCATGGCACCATCTGCATTTGTAAAGTCATTAGGATAACAGGGCTAGATTGGAACTTCTTGGTGATACTGAAGTATCAGAAACGGATTAAAAAATCAAAGGGGATTGTACGTGCTTAGAATCCTTCAAATTTAGGTAATTACTGATACGTTTTTCACTATGATAAATGTTAACAATGAAATATCTTAAAAAGACATAGCACCTCTAATAGATCAATAGAATGATCCTCTTAATGTAGTGAACCAATATTCTAAGATCTGTTATCCCCAAATAAGAATTTCTAAAGTATTTGCAAATTATTTTTTTTAGAACTAGGTGTACTTAACTAGTGTACTAGACTGATGGAGATTTACAGTCTTCCATAGCAGCGTAGGGTTTTAGAACATGTTAGACATGCACCTGACAGGAATGAGGCATGGATAGGAGGTCTCAAGATCTGTTCCAGGCATTTTCTATGATTACGATAAAGCCATAGTAAGAAGTTTTTGTGCACGTCTTAGTATAGGCACATGATACCGTGCTATTTCTTAATAAAGCATTGGTTATTATTTATACAATTCTCAGAAGAGTTCTAGAAAATATGGCATCTTTGAAAATCTTCTAAAGCATTGTTCAACACAGTGTGTTTACATGCTACATAAATATAATGCCATGCTTACATATTGTTCCAAGATAGATATTGGACCCGACCTTCTCTTTTCCTTGTATTTTGATCAGTAAGGTAGGAAAGTAGACATAAAAATTCTCAGGAGAATGAACCTACTTGGTCCATCTTTCATGCCGTGCAGCCTTTTTGTTCTGTTTACACAAAATGGATTAAGTTAAAGATGCCAAGTCAGACTCGATAATGATTTTCTTGATTTTGGTTAATCTTTTTTCTGTTTAAATAAGAAAGCGACTAGTAAAAAGAAGATATGTTTGTATACTTGTATTTCTTATGTGTCAGGCTTGGATCTTAGAGTACTCGTGATAGGCCAGAGTTATCAAACATGTTAACCCATGGTTAATTAATTAATTAACCCATGATGCACTCACCATATCAGAGTGAACAGCTAATCCTTATTAATCTGAATAAGAGCTTTTTAATTAGCTTTAGTAGAACATGAATCAAGTCCCCCGGTAGTGCAAAATTTTACTGCAATGACCACAGTGAAAAAGGAGAAACTCTTCACTTACGTTAAAGAACACAGTATAAAAATAAAATCATTGAGAGTGACTTCATATACTTATTTTTTAATTGCCACAAACATTTATAATGCAGTAGCAACAATCTGGAAGTACATCTTAAATAAATGCAAAAAAAAATGAGGGGCAATGGTCTCTTAGAGTGATTTCTTGTGGCTTTTTCTCCCTCACAAAATCATACGATAGGGGCATAATTCATTCTCCAGTCTTAAAAGCTGAAATGTTACTGTATAATTCTCCTCCAGGGGTGAATGTGCATTAAATGATAACTGGTCTCAGGTTTATCTTGAAAGATGATCACTGTGACAACACTGAGAAATTTACCAATTTCTATATATAGTGAGTTCTGTGGAGCTTTCTTATTGAAACGGGCCAGTTTTATAGAGCGCTTGTTGGATATTTGTCTTTCAGCCACGCAATGGAAGGAGATCAGCGGATTTTCACTAAGCAGGTATTTATTTAAATGCTTTTAATTAAGATCTCTCTTTCAATATGTTTATTTTTATACAAATAGGCCAAATATTTATGTTTAGAAGCAATATTTAACCCAGAAAGCCTTTAATTGTGCAGTGAGCTTAGATTTCTGCAAGGATTTCTCCAGATCTGCTAAATTCTCCCACCTCAAATGGAAATGAATGGAAGCTGTAGGTACTCACTCCCTACAACAAAGAAATCGGAGGTGTTTCAGGCAGCAAGAAATGGAAAACACCCCAGATTTGTAGACAGTTTCGAAAATTACTAATGATGATAAGCGTATGTCAGGAAGAACTGATCCAACTACCTGAAACTATTTGGCTCTTTGGAGATATAAACAAGTCTTTCTTTGCTTATATTATGATGTTCTCTTTCTCTAATACATTTTATAGCTCTATCATATTTTAAGCATTTAGTGCAATGTCATATCAAAAGCTAAAGCTTTTTCTTATTTTTCAGGATTTTAGATTCCTGATCTAGAACTAATGCTGCAGGAACGCTGAGTAGACGGACATACTGTTTTCCTTACAAAAATTGTTCCGTACTAATGTACAATTCAAAAATCACTAGAATGTAAATGTTCTTACACTAGATTCAGTTAACAATTCAAATGTTTCTTTTCTTTCTTGAATCTATTAAAAGCATATTAAAATAATTTGTTTCCTAATGTTATGTTTACAACTGTGTGTGTAATGCACCTGTAAAAAAAGTCACAGTGTTCGCATGTAAGAGACACTGCCTCTAACGCTGTTGATATGTACTTTTATTTTCCCTTCTAAATAAAGGCATTCAGTTAGCGAGTTGTTTTAATGAGAATGTGGGCAATGTAGTCTTTTGGGTTTTTTTTCAGAATACATTGCAAGTGATTTGTCTTTAAAATCACAGCTTAATTTATTTTGTTAATATCATATTTTACAGCTCCTTTATTGATATTTATGCACATTTACATAGCCAACTACTCTTACATTTGCATATTCTTATTCTGCCCTCATATTTATTGGAAATGCCTATTCTTTCATTATCTGAATAAGCGTTAAACTCAGTCCCACGAAAAAGACGTACACTGAAGCCAAGCTTTCACATGTCTGATAAAACAGTGCAGAAAGTCTGATTCATGGCATGTATTTTTCTTTGCTCTACCACAACACCTAACACTGCATCATGATGAAAGTATGGGAGCCGGGGAAGAAAAGCCACGAGAAAATGTCATGCTTCAAAAAGCACAACTCTCTCCATGAAGAACATCTACATAACGAGAATCCCCGTTATATGCAGTTTGCCGGAAGGCCAGACAAGAGGTGTGCCATGAGGCAAACCGTGACCGCTTACCGGCCTGCCGGCAAGGAC